AGGTTTTGAGGCATAAGGTTTGTTTGGAAGTGTTGAAGGATTTTTCTAGTGTAAAAAAAAAAAGTGCAGTGGCTCAAAAATGGTATCAAAAATACTATCACAATTAATCGTGATTAATCCACAGCTGATTACATTTTTTTAATTGTTTGCCATAAAAAGTAATGAATGTTGCCCCCCCCCCGCTCCGCCCCCCCCCCACCCGCTCTTTCCACCTCACCTCTTATTTCAGATTCTTCTGTTTAACTTTTTCTTTTTTCTTTTTTTTTTTTTGACTTCACCCGCAAGGATTTGGTGACAGGAGACATAAGGACTAATATGGTCCAGTTGTACTTTTCAGCTAATTACCACCGGGGGGCAACACTGAGCTTTTTATCCTGAGGGACAGAAGCAGCCTGCAGGGCCAGAGCTGCATGCAGCCCTGCATTAATAAATCACCAGTCAGAAAGAGGAGAGAAGAACACATCCTCCTATCAGACAGCAGGCGGCTCGGCTCAGTCTGTTCATCAAACTCTCTCTCTCTCCACTCATCTTCACCACAAAGTCAAAAAAAAAAAACAACCCAGAATGAACCCAGTGTCGGGTTAAGGAGCGTCGACAATAAAAGAGTAAAATCCTAGTAGGGAACGTTGACTGTGCTGCAGCGTGTGTCCACCAGGGGGGAGGAGCAGAGACACCTGCAGCTCACACACATCCACAGCCACACTAATGGCTTTTCTCTGAGCAATCAGACGGCACGATGGATCAGTGGGAGCTGGAGAGGCAGGCTGCAACCCTGCAGGGTCAGCACAAGGACAGAGGTTCACACACACACACACAGACACACACACACACAGACACACAGACAAACAGACCGAGCCGTGGATGTGTGTTCCCAAACCCGAGGACGTTCATGACCTGAACTCTGCGAGACTCCACTTTAAAGACAAACAGACTGAAAACACAGAGAGCGGCTGAGGAGGAGGAGGAGGAGGCGGGGATGGGGGGGGGGGTAATGATCTGCTCCTCCCCTTTATCCAGTCAGGATAAATCTCTCCGTGAATCATCAGTGTTATGTGTAATTTCCATATAAATTAGCTTCATTAAAAGGGGAGTACTTTCTTATTTAACAAAGCTCATTTTAAATTCTGTATTTAATAAGACATGTAATCCAGGGCTCTGAGAGTAATGGCCGACAATTAGCAGGACGGCGCTGTGGTGTGTGTGTGTGTGTGTGTGTGCGCGTATGTGTGTTTATAGGTGTCTTGCTACTATTGTGGTACATCAATGTTATTCCCATTGATTGTCCTAAATGAGCAGGTTTGGCAGCAGCTGCTCTCTCAGCCAGGATCTCTCGCAGGGATCCG